ATAGTTGAAAACGACGGCGGTGGGCTCTGGCACCTCTCTCAGCTCCTTGCATTGGGAGGGGGAGGTTGAGAAATTGTGTACCTGCATTTTTAAAAATGGGGAAACCTAAAATTGTGATAACCACCATACATATGATAGATTATTTCTTTGATCCTCCCCTCCCCGTTTTGATGAGTCTGGGTAGCTACTTAAATGCATTTTAAAGACATTTTGAAAGAACTGTGATAAATTAAGCTATAAAACATTTGGCTTTCGTGGGTATAAAACATGCGTTTTGAGTCAAACACTGGTCTTTCTGGCACTAAAAACAAGTAGGAAATGAGAAAAAAATTAAAACCAGAAGACTTCAGGAAGGTGACAAATTGGAACGCATTGTAGAAGAATCAGGACCATTTTATGTGAAAGAAGCACTGAACTTTAAGTTTATGCTCAGTTTATAAAAGGCATTAAGGCGCACAAGATTTGGGGAGGGGGAAGAAAAGACAAATCTATTTTAAAAGACTGAGTGCCATATCCTTGAATTGGTAATTCAGAGCCGCCTCCTTCACTTCTCTCCCTTTCCAACTTCCTTCCCTCCTTTCTTACCTTTCTTTGCTTTTGCTCTCCCTTTTCTTTATCCCACCCAACGTATTTAAATATATTTGCCTTAATTTCTTTGTGAATGAATTTTAGAGATCTCTCAGGGTTCCTAGTTGGAAAAAAACCTTCTACACTACTTGAAAGGTTGATGTCCTTCTCAGGAAATGAATGAGTCGATAACCTCTGACACCAGTGACCAGTCCGGTGAACCCTACCTTAATTCCTCTAATACTGGGAGCCCCCAGCCAAGCACAACTGTGAATCTTTTAAATACCCTCCCATCTGGTTCAGCTATGGTATTCCACACCTCATCTACATAAATGGGTTTGAATATTGTCAGATTTAACAATAAACAAGGATTGATAATGCACTTACATATTGTTTCTAACTTTATGAGTAAACTTTTCTAATTCGAAACAAACGTAGATAAAAATGTTTTTACCAAAGTCTACTGGTCTGTGAATTTTTTCACTCAGTTTTTTTCAGATTTTTTCTGATGTCATGTACATTTTTTAAAAGTAATTCTTTAAAATATAAGTTACCTTTGTATTTTGTATTACATGTTAAACCTCGAATGCCATTGTTAAGGCTACTTCCTTATAAGTCAATGTAAATTAAGTGTAACAGTAGCAGTCACATTTATATTATGAAATAATGGCTGGCAAATATTTTATTAGCAAATAATGTTTTCAGGTTGTGGAGCTTTTGTTACACTTACAAAATCATTTGGTGGTTTACACTTTTGATTTCCTTACCAGCTGGTGCACTTATTTGCTACCCTCAAAATAAATAAAACGAAAAACTTGCCCTTTCTTGAGAAACAATTAAAGAAAAAAACAGGTGAAAAATCTTTCCAGATTGATTTTGACACCTTTTATCACAAACAGCTGAATTAACTTTAATATTTTTATATGCAGCCATTTCACTAAAGTCTAATCTAAAATTTTTAGTTGTTTAATATGAAAAAGAGGTGTTAATAAGTATATATGTTTTTTCAATAGGTTTTCCATTCAGAATCCCAACATTTTAGTTCGTGTGAAACACTTAAATTGTGGACTTGTTTGGAGATGGGGAGGGGGTGTTGCAGCACGGTGGGGGAGGGTCAGCTCAGTAATTGCGGAAGGGAAGTGGTATCTAGTTTTTCCGTAAACCGCTTAAGAAAATGGGGGACGGATGAGGTGGGTGCCTTTTAATGTTTCCAAAGGGGTGATATTTTATATTTTACAGGAAGAAAAGCATTTCTAGTTAATCTATAATACTTTGTGTAGTATTAAATGAGAGGGGGTAATGTAATCATCTCAATCAATGTTTTGAGCTGATTTGAAAGGTAAAAAGTAAGCATTTTCAAACTGAGGGCCAATGGGTATGGGACTGGAAGAGCCTAATCCGTTGTTAAATTTTCGTTTAT